CTACGTTTATAACGGAATAAATTGTAGGTTATAGGTAGGTGGATAAATAGTTTTTCGTAACAGGCAATGGAACTATTGAATTCAACGAATTTCTCTTCATGATGTCGAAGAAGATGAAAGAGTCAGACAGGGAAGAAGAGCTTTGTGAGGCTTTCAGAGTTTTCGACAGGGACGGAGATGGTTATATAAGTGCCACAGAACTCAGACATGTTATGACCAACCTTGGTGAGAAGCTTACGGACGATGAAGTGGAGGATATGATTAAAGAAGCAGATCTAGATGGTGATGGTCTCGTCAATTACAAAGGTGAGTTACAATTTGTCTTACATTCCTTTTCTTCGAATAGATATTGATGTTTGTTTTTATTTTTATTTATCTATCTATCTATCTTTATAAAGATAAAATGTGCGTTTGTTTGCACCCTAACTCCTCCGAACCTATTGGGTCAATCTCAACCAAAATTTGTATGTAAACACCATAAACTATGGGGAATGTTCTAAGGGGGTCAAAATTGAACTTAACCCTATTTCTATTTTGTAAAGCCTGTTGGTTAATTACTTCCAGCCTATTGAGTCAATCTCAAACAATTTTGGCAGGTTGACCTAGGCCCAAAAAAGTGTGTGCAAAAAGCCCATAGGGTCCATATGGAACCTCATCGATAATTATATGGTTACGTGAAAATTTGAATAGAAAATGGTACCGCTAGTAAATTGTTCACGGTTTAAAAAATATTTCTAGCACAGAAATAAGATTGAATAATAAGGAGGTGGCGCATTAAATAATAATAATAAAAAAATAATAATTGAAGGTTTCGAGCCTAACAGAAGTATACCGAGTATCAAAATAGTCCATATAAGAATATGACACGAGTCACATGATTTTAGGCTTTCGTTAATTGTCTGAACGTTAATATTATATATGTTATTAATTTTAACGGAGCACGAAGACAACACAACTTTCGTTAATTGTCTGAACGTGAATATATGTTAGTGATTCTATCGCAACACAAATACGACACGATTTCCGTTAAGTGTCTAAACGTTAATATATGTTAATTCAAAACACAATAACAGCAACTTTTACAGTAAACAAATCCGGTTTTAACAATTACAACGTTTCGACCTGTAGTACAGTCAGTCGTTATAGTTGATTTTTGTTAGTGATTCAATCGCAATTAACTTTTGACTTCATAGGTTCTACTGATTTATTTAATGCGGAGAACATTTTTGTGTCACTGCATTATCGCTTTTATTTTTAATTCGTAACTGTATCGCGAGAAATAGATACCAATGTGTGATTATTTTTTCAAGGGCTTGTTTGATGAGATAGCAAGTTCACAGTTTACATCATGAAGCTACCTAAAAGAATAAGCTGAAGAACGACGTTTTGGCTCATTAGAATTTCTTACTGACCAAAGTTTTTATTAGCAATTTTTTGGTTAAAACTATGAGTATCTGGACCTGCTTATAAGCAAATTATTTTTCATGTACCGGATCCAGAGTTGAAACACTAAATTCGCCATATTGGTCGAGGCGTTGCAATTCAGTGTTAAAACGGTATATTCTATTCCATTTCTTGAATATAAACCTACTACCACTGTTTGTATAGAATTAGTGACTATTTATTTATACTGGCTTCATGCTTTAAAAGCTGCCAAAAATTCAAAAAAAAAGTACTATGATCTTGTAATATATTGGTTGTTTGTTTGTTTTCAATTTCGCGCAAAACTACACGAGGGCTATCTGCGCTAGCCGTTCCTAATTTAG